CTATCAAAGTCACCTCATAGAATCAAAGTCACCTCATTTCAGGAAGTTTCTGTGGTATTTCTCTCTTCTAACACACTCAATAAATTAGTTAATATTTATTTCTTGAGAATATTTTTAATTATTAATAACATTTTAATTAATATAATTAGTATTTCAATGACACAGTATTTAATTTCCTTTTCGTTAATAGGGAGCAATGAATTTTGTATAAAAAGTTTTACAAGTCAAAATATGTAAATATTATAATCAATTTGTCTTTTAGATGGGTTTTCTTTGGTCCTGGAATCACATGGTTAGTAAACGATGGAGACCCAATCAAGGCGTTGATACTAACTGCCAGTTAAAACTTCTTAAGGACTTTCGAGAATTCTGTAGTAATTCCAAAAATAGGTTGAGAAATTTTTGGTATGAGTGTTGGGAGAGCAAAGAAGTGAAGAACTATTCATCAGTCAAGACTATATCAATAAAAAAATAAAAACATATATATTTCTTTTTTGTTTTATTTTTTAAATTTTTCTCAAAATTGAAAACACCCTACGATGTACGTGTAAAACACAAATTATATCAGGAACTACGTGTGAAAGCAGAAGCAATACAGAAATAACAAAAAATCATTATGTTTATTATCGATGCACAAGGAAAACATCTGTCTTGTTCGGTATTTACTATTTTTATTGTGAATAAGCCATAATTTTACTTTGAAATAAGTTTATTTAAAGTTTTGATTTCCACTTCGGAAATCGTTATCAAAATACAAACCATTAATAAATTAAACAAATTTTGTTTTTTTGTTACTCAGTAAAAAATTCTTCTAAAAATTTAATTTTATATTTTTGAGTTGCGTTCCTTCTTCTTGTAGTGCCTATCCGTTTCGGATGTTGGCGACCATCATGGCAATCTGTATTTTGCAAACTTCTGATCTGAAAAGTGTGGTTGTGTTGAAAAACTTCGTAGATTTTTCAGCCAGGAAATCATTCGCCTTCCTGGGCCTCGTTTTCCTTTTACTTTTCCTTGAAGAATTAATTGCAGTAATCCATATCTTTCGCTGTTCCTCATGATATGACCGAGGTATTAGATTTTGGCTGTTTTTATTGTGGTTAACAACTCTTTTTCTTTTTGGTTAGTAACGTTTTCGGTATAGGATATCTTCAGGATTCGACGATAAAGCCACATTTCGAAAACCTCAATTTTCTTGCAGGTAGCATCTGTGAGAGTCCACGACTCAACTCCCTACAACAGTAAAGGAAAGATATAACATCGTAGTAGCCTGATTTTTATGGGTACTGATAAATTGTGGCATTTGAATAGCTTAGCCATTTTTTGAAATGCAGATCTTGCTTTCTCTATCCTACATTTTATTTCTAGGGAATGGTTCCAATTTTCATTGACGTTCATATCAAAGTAGGTGTATGATTTTACTCTTTCTATTGATTGACGATTCACACTGATTCTTTTAATTTGCTGTTCCTTCTTAGAGATCATTTTGTTTTCATAATGTTCAGTGAAAGTCCATATCTCTGACTCACTTCTGTGATTCTGTTCATTAACTTCTGGAGGGCTTCATTACTGTCAGCGAACACTACGGTGTCATTCGCGTATCTGATGGGATCTGGGAGAAAGGGCTGTGCGATGATAATGGAAATCTACAACTAGACCCCGACAAAATAGTTAGAATCTGGGAAACTTATGTGGAACACCTGTTTAATGATGACCGTCCTAGTGGGTATACACTCAGCAATGATGATACTGGCCCTTCTATTCTAAAATCAGAAGTGGAGAATGCTATAAAGGGTCTTAAAAATAAGAAAAGACCAGGCAACGATAACGTATACGGGGAAGTGTTGAAAATGCTGTGCGAAAGAAACTGTCAATTTCTAGACTCACTCGTCAGACTCTTTAACAATATTTACAACACCGGGGAGTTTCCTGAAGACTGGCTAGAGTCAACTTTTGTTGCCATACCGAAAAAACCAAAAGCAAAGTCTTGTGATCAACATCGGATGATAAGTCTAATTAACCACATTTATACATACACCAAGGTTATTTACAACAGAATAAGCAAAAAATGCGAGGATAACATTGGAGATTCGCAGTTTGGGTTTCGGAATTCTCTTGGGACACGAGAAGCACTTTTTAGTCTACAGGTACTCATTCAGTGCTGCAGAGATATGAACAAAGACGTGTACATATGCTTTATACACTACGCAAAAGCATTCGATAACGTAAAGCACGAAAAGATAATTGAAGTTCTCCATAAGATCGGAATCAACTACAGAGACATTCGAACAATAGCGAGTCTCTATTGGGGTCAAACAACTAAAGTAAAAGTAGGATCTACATTGACCAATAAAATTCAGATCAAGAAAGGGGTACGACAGGGCTGTATCTTGTCTCCTATTCTCTTTAATATATACTCAGAAGCAGTATTTAAGACAGCGCTGGTGGAAAGCACAGAAGGCATAAAGATAAATGGAGAAATAATTAATAACATAAGGTATGCTGATGACACTGTGATTCTAGCAAGTAGCATGGAGGAACTGAGTTCTCTAATGAGTAAGATACAAAAAACAAGTGCACAATAGGGACTCAGACTAAATATCACAAAAACCAAATGGATGTTAGTAAGCAAAACCCAACAACCACCACAGCAACTGATATTAGACAATGAAAGAATTGAACACGTGGATTCGTACATCTACTTGGGAACAACAGTTAACTCAAATTGGGATCAAGCGAAGGAAATACGTATAAGAGTAGAAAAGGCAAGAGCATCGTTCACTAGCATGAAGCAAATTTTCACTTCTAAAAGCCTTACCCTACCTCTCAAAATTCGACTTCTGAAATGTTATGTATTCCCGGTTTTGTTATGGAATGGAGGCGTGGACAATGACCGCAACATTGATAAAAAAAGGGGCCTTCGAAATGTGGACTTACCGACGTATATTACGTATATCCTGGACTGAGCACGTGACCAACGAAGAGGTACTACGCCGGATAGGCAAAGATGAAGAGGTAGGAATAAGTATAAAGAAAAGAAAGTTGGAATACTTGGGTCACGTTATGAGACATAATAAATATAGAGTACTACAGCTGATCGTTCAAGGGAAAATAGACAGCAGAAGGGGTCGAGGGAGGAGAAGACACTCGTGGCTCCAAAACTTGCGGCAATGGTTCGGATTGTCATCTGCTGAACTATTCAGATCTGCCGTAAACAAAGTCCGAATAGCCATGTTGATTGCTAACGTTCGAAACGGACAAGGCACATGAAGAAGAACCTGAGAGAATGGTACGGATGTACATCAGATGAACTTTTCAGAGCAGCCGTCTCAAAATTCAGAATAGCTATGATGATTGCCGACCTCCGCCGCGGAGATGGTCCTTGAAAAGAATTGAATATTTTTGTTAGTTGTTTAGTAATGTCGTTGTTAAATAGCTTTATGAGTTCAACATATGCATTGTCAAGTCCAGGAGCTTTGTCATATTTTAGTTGTGATATTGCTTTATCCACTTCATCTGGTGTTATTGGTAACTGGTCATTACATATGTAGGACAGAGGTTGTTCGGAACTATTATCATCAAAAAGTTCTTGTATGTATGCATTGCGTTCATAGGACGACTTTATTGTAAGATAGTTTATTCGATTACATGAAATCAACTTTAACTTGGAATGTTCCTCAAAAAAATCAATTTAGTAAATCATGAGAAAACCTCATGACATTAACCTGACATGGTAAGTATATGGTCTAACATTTATTTTACTCCCAATATTATCTAATATCAAACTAGTTTTTTTGTTTTCTATTTTCTCTTTTAATATGCGTAACCAGATCCGACTGCATTTTGTCGAAGAATTTATGACGCAGTTGGCTTCATTTAACATAATAAGAGCTGCTTCTTTGATTTTCTCTTTTTACCATCTGTTTCTTTTAAGACTCTACCTGAATCTTTCCACGGAACATGTTTACATATTTGAGATCAAATTCTCTACTTTTAACATAAGAATATCAAAAACAGAATTTAAAGATGCCACAAGGAAATAGCTGTGGAACAGTTTAAGAAACCGGTATATAACTTAAAACTAAAAAGTTCATATAAAAAATAACATTAGAATTTGAGAAGCAAACGAATGTCACTCCGTGAAAAATGTGAGGATATAATTTGCAAATACGAAGTTGGATTCAAAAATACCCGACCTTTTGTTTATAATCATTAACTCATTATCATTAACTCTTTTCGACATACCGCATATCACAGTTACCACCTGGAAATATCTTGGATTATGGTTTCCGCTCATATAATATTTTCCCCACCTCCATACTATTAACTGCTTACTAAATATTATATCTCTTGCACGGCTAGGATATCCATTTTTTACATTACCTATTAACGACTTTGAACTAAATTATACTTAAACTAAAAGATACATTTAAATTTAACGATTTTGGAAATATATTATTGTATAAAATTAGTTCAGTTTTGAGAATTAACCTAACCTGATCGTTTGCCAAAAATCAGCAATATGTACTATAATTACTTTGAGCAGTGTATTTAGTAAATTATTCATCCCAAAGGCTAGCAACACGTAATACACTGGTAAAATTTGCTGGCGCTGGCGAAAAATACAATCAATCAGCTGATTATTCTGATTAATTAATAACACAAAGACAAAAAATGTATTATAGCTTATTAACATTAACCGTTGGTTGTTGGTTGGCGCATTGATCTTTATTCATATTATCGCACAATACCAATACTTAATACTTTTGCTTTTGTCTTTCAATTTACTTGCTTGAAACTGAAGTACTGTTATCACGTAATCAGGTTTATTGAAACACAAAGGGGATTATTTTCTTTCTTCTAAATAAACAGAAATAAACCTATGTTGGTAGTTTGATCTCTCTTGGTTGTCGGTTGTCGCTATTTGTAACGTTGATAAGATAACTCCGTAAGTGGGAGGTTTAAATTAAATTACAAAATATAAACGTTAATCAACAATTTTTAAATTAAATAGTACTCTCAGGGTGATTGCTAGTGTACTTGAAATATGGCTCTCCCAGGACCCTTGGATAAATTATTCAAGTAAGTATAAGTGTGTTACACATACAGATTCCATAGAAAATTTTCTCAGATTATTAAAAATTAGTTTTTATTCCAGTCAATATTTAGCTTTGGCTATTTTAATACACCTCATTGAGCTATTAAAAAATTTTAATTTTTAATTCTTGTCCCTTGTCCACGTAAATAATTATTTTATTGTTCCATTGAGTTAACAAAGTACAGAATATACAATATTAACCATAATGTGCCTTTTTAAATGTTATTTTATTCTATATTATATTTAAGAAAAGGAGTCCATCTGTTACTGAATGTTGGTATAATTATATTGCTGGTAATTAGTATCTGAATAGATTTATAGTATCTGAAATACATCAACTTGTAGATTTTTCAGTCAATGCATTATTTTTCTTTTCTATTTTGTACTTATGTACCTCAATTTCAAAAGGTTGTATTTCGAACATTTTATCTATCTATCTACCTACTATAATTTAATAATAATATAATTAAGTCCCTCAGAAATCTATTGAAAAGATAACGTTTTTCAGAATAACTATGTGTAATTTAGTCTTTATGTCATAATTTAAATCAATAGGACCTACTTAGGTTGAAATAGTTTTAAAAATCTATTAAGAAATGAATTTCAAAAGAGTCTGATTATTTTTTATTTAGGGCTAAGATTTATTTAAGTTAAAAAAAATAACTCCTAGATAAATAATATATTACATAGATATGATATCTGCAATAGTACAAAACATACCTAATTTGTAATTATGCAAAATATATACAGGATATTGTCACAGGACTAGGAAAGTTGGAAAACAGGTGTGTTTATTAGAATTATGGAAGTGGAACAAATGCCAGGCCAATGGAGAAGCAGTATATTAGTTGCTGTTTACAAAAACAAGGGAGATATATAATAATACACAAACTACAGAGCCATAAAACTACTTATAGTCAGGCCATGTGAAAATATGGGAGAGAGTAATTCATAGACAGACCTGTCAAGAAACTAAATTCTCGAATAATCAGTATGGTTTTATCAACGAGTTAGAATCTATGGAGAGGGCATCACTTGACTAAAAACGACCTAACTTCGGCCATATTGGTATCTCCATAGATTCTAACTCGATGGGTTTTATGCAATGCAGATTAATAACAGATGCAATTTTTATTATAAGGCAGCTGATGAAAAAAGAAATACAGAAACAAATACTCATAAATATGGTATTCATTGATCTTCAGAAAGCATATGATACAGTTCCTTGAAAGATTCTGTGGCAGGGACTTAAAAAGAAAGGAGTTCCCAGTACATGTGAATATTTTGAGATACATGTATGAGGGAGTAACAACTAGTGTTAGGACAGGTATGGGAGAGACTGATAAATTTCATGTGAAAGTAGGATTGCACCAGGGCTTGGTGCTTAGTCCTTATTTATTATCATCCTCAACTACAGGGTAACATTCCCTGGTTCTTAATGTATACTGATGGTACAGTGTTAGTAAGAAATACTGGAGGGAATTTAGAACAAAAACTGAAACAGTGGAGACAAGCTCTTGATGAAAACCGGTAGATGAAAACTTAGTAGGACAAAACCAGAGTATTTGGAATGTTCATTTGGAATCGATTATTAACTTATTAAAGGTGGAGATACTACTACAAATAAAATGATAACTTTGGATGGTGAAATGATTGTGAAAAGAGTTTAAGTATAAAGGATCGTTAGGATGGGTTGGCTGAAGTGGAAGGAAGCAAATGGTATGTTGTGTGACAAAAATATTCTAATGAAAGTCAAGGAAAGATTCCATAAAGCCATCAAGCAATAAGACAAAAGAGCTAATGTAAAGGTAGTGGGGGCAAACATATTGATAGACAGGAAGTGCTATTTTGAGAGGCCACTTTAAACAAGGAAAGAGAATCTCTTTCCTTGTCTCCTTTTCATAACGATTAGATTCCCTCTTTTGTCTTATTGCTCGATGCATAAAGCTGACATACGAAGTTAGTAAAACTATAAATGCATTAGTATAATTCTTCTTCTTCTTTAAGTTCCATCTTCTATCGAAGGTTGGAAATCATCATGGCTATGCGGACTCTGTTGACTGCCGCTCTAAAAAGTTCTGCACTACTGCATTCAAACCATTCCCTTAAGTTCTTAAGCCAGGATATTCTTCGTCTTCCCACATTTCGCTTTCCTCGGATTTTGCCCTGCATAATAAGTTGTAATAATGCGTATTTTTGCCCTCTCATCACATGTCCCAAGTACTCAAGTTTTCGTCTTTTAATAGTTAATATTATTTCCGCCTCATTTCCTATCCTTCTAGTTACTTCCATGTTTGACATTCTTTGAATCCATGATATTCGTAGGATTCTTCTGTAACACCAAAATTCAAAGGCGGCCAGCTTATTCAGATGAACTTGTTTTAGTGTCCAAGCTTCCAGACCATAAAGAAGAGTAGAGAACACGTAACATCGAAGCATTCTCAGGCGTAGTTCTAACCTTATATCCCGACAACAAAGAAACTTTTTAAGTTTAATAAATGATGTACGTGCTATTTCAATACGTGTCTTAATTTCTTTGGTTTGGTCTACATCTGATGTTATCCATGTTCCTAAATATTTATAGTTATTAACATTCTCAATTGCAGTATCTTCAATAGTCAATTGGATATTTGCATGTGCAGATTTAGTCATAATCATGCATTTAGTTTTCTTTAAATTTATCTTCAGTCCGTACTCATGACAGCGTTCATTAAGGCGTTGCATTAGGTTCTGTAAATCATTGTTGTTATCCGTAATTATTACTGTATCGTCTGCAAAACGTAAGTTATTCAAAACTTCTCCATTGATAGATATACCTTCTATTGAGTCTGAGAGCGCTTCTTGAAATACCGCTTCACTGTAGACATTGAAAAGTAGTGGGGACAGCACGCAACCCTGGCGGACTCCTCTCTGTATTTTGATATTTTCGGTGTACTGGCTGTCAACTCTTACCTTGGCAGTTTGATTCCAATATAAATTAGATATAATTTTCAGATCACGACTGTCAATATTTTTGCTTTTTAATATATCTACAAGCTTTTTATGTTGAACTTTATCAAATGCCTTTTCAAAGTCTACAAAACATAAGTACATATCCTGATTCATGTCCATGCATCTCTGAGCCAGCACATTCAAGCCGAACAAAGCATCTCTTGTACTCATACCATTTCTAAAGCCAAATTGTGTGTCACTAATCTCATATTCAAGAGTTTTAACAATTCTGCTGTGAATTATTTTTAAAAATGTTTTAAGTGTGTGACTCATTAAAGCTATTGTTCTGTGGTCTGAGCAAGTTGTTGAACTTGGTTTTTTGGGAATTGCTACAAAGGTTGATTGCAGCCATTGTCTGGGGATTGTGGCAGTCTGATATATTAGATTAAAGAGTTCAACCAGTACATCAATAACATCTTCATCGATGAGTTTTAATAATTCGATGGGCACCTCATCTGGTCCAGTAGCTTTACCCTCTTTTGTGTTTTTGATGGCATAGATGACTTCTTCTCTTAATATTGGTGGTCCAGTATCCTCGGTGATTTCTAATGACAGTTCTTCTCTTTCATCATTAAATAGTTGTTGAATGTAACTGGTCCAGTGACATAATCTCTCCTTCATATCAGTAATAATATCCCCTTTATTATTTTTAAGGATATTCGTTTTTGTACGCTTTCTAGAACCTGTCATTTCTTTGAGTATAATCATTAGTATAATACTGATTACTATTTAAATGGGAATAAGCCATAATTAAAGGTTAAAGTATGTTTATTGACGTTTCAATTTCCACTTCAGAAATCATTCTCAAAATACAAACATTATTAAATAAAGCCACAAGAAAATAGCTTCAGAACAATAATATAATACTGATCATCAAAAGTAAAATGAATAAACTGGTTATTTAAAAGTCAAGCAAGAAGGTATAGACGGTTAAGCCTGAAGAGTAGCACATTACAGGGAGGACATATTAGGAACCATAGAAAAATTGAATAACATTTGCATGTAAGAGGACAGAGAAACAATTTTAATAATATCAAAATGTTTAACTTTTAATTGCCAATTCTTTTTATACATAAATTATAAAAATCCATTTATAAAAAAATTCATAAAAAAATCATTTTTTCAACAGAGCCTCTATTTCGACGCTCAATAGATTATCCTGTTGAGCTAGTCGTTGTTTGATACCTGCATATCTCTTACAATTTTTCATCCAAATGATATAGTTCTGCTGTGGAGCATGTCGAAATATTATTACTCATCGGCTGTCGTCGAAGACTTCTTTATTATACGCGACGCAACGCCGAGACTTGACGCTGTTCTTCTTCCCGTCTCTCACATCTACGGAATTTTTACAGCAAAATTGCCAACGGTATTAACATTGACCTGGTCCATACAGTTGAGTACGTCGAAAAATCATTATCGCCCGCGTCATCGCAGACCTAATTTCTTTAGTTCCTGTGAGGACGACGAGAATTAGTTGTTAGTCTTAGGACAGCTTCAGATGGTATCCTACAACGTCCGGTAGTCAAAGTATGTCCACGGCCTATTGTTAAATCAATATTCTTTCTATTATGATTATATCTATATTTTAGTGTTCATTCTTTACAATTATAATTTCAGTTGTTTATAAAAATATTCGTTTTTAGAGGGGGAGAATGTTTCGAAAAGTATTCCGTAAATATTTTATATATTTTCTTTATTATTCTTAATATTTTTTGCATATGATCGTATTAAAAAAATACTTTCATATGTTTGAATTTCCACGTTAAACTTGGCTATACATATTCATATGTTTATCAGTTCTGAAAACAAATTGTCTTTAGACATTATCTAATTTATTACATTTCTCAATAAGGGGATGCATACGAAATTTTGTACAAAAAGCTTGTGATGGCAGCTTTATAGATTAAAAATAATCTAATTTATTACTACGCATTCAACGTTCGAAATATTCTCAGACCATCGCCTCTAAACACCTCTAGATAAACGGGAT